TGGTCCCCCTGGAGGTTTCGATGCAATATGGTATATGCATCATCTTACATTTCTAAAATCCAGAAACGTCTGGAGCTCAAGGGTTCTGCATAAAGCATTACTAGTTCTACCCACCTCACGGGGTCGTTGTGAGGGCAGGTCACCGACACAAAGCACTTAAAAGCAGCTCAGCACAGAGGAGGCAGGATAAATGGGAGTGGTAACTAATGGTAAGCTACAAAAAAACAGAAAGATACAATCTCACATCCATCAGATTGATCAAAAGAAAAAAATTTTTTTTAAAGTATGACAACTCAACAAATGATGCTGGAACGTTTGGACATCATATCCAAAAAACAAAGAAACGTCATCCAGACCTCACATTCGATACAAAAATTAATTCAAAATGTACGTTCGATACAAAAATTAATTCAAAATGTAAAACCTAACACTATAAAACTTCTAGAAGAAAACTTTTGTGACTGAGGGTTAGGGGAGGATTGGTTAGATGTGACACCACAAGCACGATTCATAAAAACAACAGATTTTTGGACTTCATCAAAATGAAAAACTTGTGCTCTTTGAAAGACACTGCTATGAGAAGGGAAGGAAAAGCCACAGACTGGAAGAAAACATCTACAAATCATACGTGATAAAGAACTTGTAACCAGAATATATAAAGAACTCTCAAAATTCAGTAATAGGAGAACAACTCAGTTTAAAAATGGACCAAAAAAATCCGGACATTTTACCACAGAAGCTACAGGGGTGGCAAATAAGCACATGAAAAGATGGTCAACATCAGAAGCCATTAAGGAAATGCAAACTAAAACCACAAAGAATTGAAAAGATTGATCATATCAAGTGTTGACAAGGAACTGGAACACTCCCACGCTCCTGGTAGGAATGTAAAATGGTACCACCACTTGGGAGCAGTTTGGCAGTTTCTTGAAAACTTAAACGTACACAGACACCATCTGACACAGTAATCCCACTCCTAGGTATTCACCCAAGAGAAACAAAAGTACATGTCCATACAAAGCCTTGTACATGAGTGTTCACAGCAGGTGTCATGGTTTG